GGAGCCGCGCCGCCGGCTTGAGGCGCGGTGTAATCTCGGTTCAAGGAGGCAGTGCGTGACCCGTGCACGCAGCATCGGGGGCGCTCGGTAAAGGCGCTGACGGCCGCGTCCTGCGGAGAGGCTCATGTTCAGGCCTTGTGGTGCTGCCCTTTCAAAAGAGCCGGGAAATGTGCACCGCCAGTGCGTTGCAGAGCACCTGCGTTCCTGACGGATTCGTCTTTACATAGCCGGGAGTCTGTCCTTTGTCCTTAAATTTAGGGACTCTCCGTCCCTTTGACAGCCTGCAGGAAGCTAAAGGAAGGGCTACCTTTGCACTGTGCAATCTAAATGGAAGACAGCTTTTTTTTTTTTTTCTGATTTCCTCACCCTTGGGATTTTTTTTTTTGTCTTAGGATTTTCATTTCCTGTCTGACTATTTTGAGTATGCTCACTACTGTTTTTCCTTGCTTTCATCAGCAGGGTATACTGAAGCATCATGTCAAGGAATACACTGCCTTGTCCTGTAAAGAAAACTCAAAACATGGAGAAACATCAGAGCACAAATCCTAAAAAAATAATACTGGGGAACCACTCTCTGAAAGAACATGAAAACATTCTGATTCATATATTCTCTGTCTAAACTAAACTAAATCTTTCAGTACACACAGATCAAGAGCCCAGTTCAATGACCCTTACTGTCTTTCTAAAACCTGATGTAAGTGTTCCCTCTCAACTAGTATCTCTTGCCCTGAGCTTCAGTGGGCATAATGGAGACATCCCAAAAATTAAATAGGAGTTTGTAGAGCTCTGGTTATTTAAAAATCAGGGCAGCCCTTCCTTGCCTCCAGCAAGGTGTCACCAATTAACTCGGGCCTCTTAGTGCTGCTCTTGCAGATGTGGTTCTGCCATGCCCACTGAATATATGGTTGAATCTTCCCACTGAGACCTTGATCTCTGCCTGTTTTTCCAGAGCTTTCCTCTAACTCTTCCCTCCAGCTCTCTATGTACCTAACTTTTACTTTTTAGCTAAATAAAATAAAGTCATGCTTTGGAACTTATCAAATGGACATCACAAAGATCCTGACTGTAATTCAAAGGAGTTACTTAATTCAAATCATTCCACAGACATTATTTACATAGAAGTAAATCATCTGGTATTTAATTATACAAGGAATTGATCAGATGCTGATTTGAAAGAAAAGGGATTGAAACACAGCATGTGGAAAATATTAGAACTGTAAAGACTGAACTGTCAATAGTCTCATGAGGACAATAACCAGTGTTCAGACAGTATTTAAAGTTCACAAATATCAAAATTGGTATTTTACACATGAAAGGGTATCACGTTTTTGCTGACAAGTAGTGCCTGAGGTTTGGTAGCCTAAACACAGACATTAGTGGGAGAATCATAAAGAGGGAAAGTTGTTTTTACAGGCCTTTTATGAATTTAACAATTCTGTCCAATCCCCTTTTCCCAGCTGGAAATGACAAAACAAAACAATCAAATAAGTTTACGATTCCATGGAATCCATCCTCAAGGTGGTACCAGGTCACTCGAACACCGTTGTCCTCCAATCTCTTCTTGTAAAGCAAGCCATCATCCCTCAGCACGTCATACTCACAGGTCAAGATAAAAGACTCGGGCAGCTGCTGAATAATAGCATCTTCAGCTAACAGTGGACACAAGCTGGGCTCACAGAACCTTTTTACTGTCTCAAAAACTTCAGCCTTGAATTCATGGGGCTTGTGTGGTTTGTAGCCTCTGACCTTAAATTTTTCGGGGATGTTATCTGGACTCACCCACTTCCTGTACTTCAGCTTCGTATCTGGAGGAATATGAGAGCCCTCCAACACTTCTTGCATATGCAATGCATCCCCATTTAGGTACTGTAACACGTAGAAAGCGGCACGTTCTCGGAATAAGAGAGGCACTCCCCGGTTCTGCTGATAGGATGGTAAATTGAAGTCCAGTGCCTGAAGGCCTGGGTAGATCAAGATCTGAGCACGTAGTCTGGGGAGGTCTGATCTACCTGCAAGGGTCTGGCTAACAGCAGCTGCTAGATTGCCCCCAGCACTGTCCCCGCAGACAATTACATTGTCGGGATCCACCCCATAGTGCTCTGTATTCTTCATAAAGTGTATGGTGGCATTAAGACAGTCTTCATAAGCAGCAGGGTATTTGTGTTCAGGAGCTAAACGATACCTAGTACACAGAAAGAGATGTCATAACTGTAAATACAAATTTCCTAAGCACCTTGGCTTTCCCTGTGTTGTTTGGAGATTTTTTTCTTTCAGAAAAAAATACCAACAGTGTCATTATCTGCTAAACAGGTATTTGTCCAGCGAGTTTTCACAGATAAATGATAGCCAGTAGGATGAAGTTGCAAAGATGTAGCATAGTTGGGATCTATCTTCTGAGGCCAGCAATGAACAGAACTTATGTGATACAAGTTCATTTTACTCTTCTGGTGTAGACTGCATCTGGCTTGTGGATGAAGTAATATAATCAGTCTGCACCTCACCTTTACTCCCTCTTGAGACACAGAATAACTGGGACAGTGTTAAATTTTTCTGTATTAGTATTAAAATATATTAGCATTTGATTCTTACTGTTAGAAAACTTGAAGTTTACAGTGATTACATCTAATTAAGCAGATCACTGAATCACCACCTTCCGATTATTAGTCAGTTCTCGATACGTAAGAAAACTCTCCTGGAAAGCATTCCTTCTGTTTGTGTGGTGCCAGCTTAGCTCTGTGTTGTGAGATACATGAACCTTTGGGGTCTGTTTGCACTCTCCCTGCAGCAGCAGCCGGGGTGGGGGGTGGGGGGGAGGAGAAATTAAAATAGTCCCTTTGAAATTTTGTGGGACCATCTGGGATCCTAGAGAAACGGTTTACTGAGGAGGAGTGTTCCCATAAGTTGTGCAACACTGTGGTGCTGAGAAGTGAAGCAAAAAGACTTGCATAGG